TGCTCGTGAGCTGCAGCAGCGTGGTCAGTTGCGACTTGCGTACGTGGCCTCTGAGGCCAACACTGCTGATGTGTTCACCAAGGCACTCGCGCCTTGTGACCATTAGCGCTTTTGCACCCAGCTGGGTCTTGTGCCTGTCTTGCCTCACTTGCTCTCCTCTTGACTTCACTTGTACTGTGACATATATATATATACATGCTCTTGCTTGGCTAGTTTTATATATATGTCTGTACTCCTGCATGTGAACTGGCCTCTAGCCCTACTCTTGTGCTCGGACTGTGTGGTGACTTTGTGATCCACCCTGAGCTTGCTTTGCTTTGCTTTGCTTGACTGGTCTTGTGACCCCTTGTTCTCCCCCACTTTGCCTATGGGGGTGTGTCAGATTATCATAGCTGATGCATGTTTGTAGGCTATAGTGGGGTAGCACATATGGGGTACAGCTTTCTAGGGTTGTATTTGTACCCAACTCTGACTTAGTCATTTCATTCCTGTTCGCTTATTCTCACAACGGGCTGTCGCTGCTGGAGCTGACGTGTACGCAGTGGATATTGCACTCGTAGACAAAGATGAGCAGCCGAGTGATTTGGAGAAACTGCTGGCAACTGTACCGACCGAACTACAGGCACTACTGAAACAGTTCCCGGGGATATTTCCGGATGATTTACCACAGGGACTGCCACCTCAGCGGGCGCACGACCATAGGATCGAGTTAGAACCGGGGGCACAGCCAACTGTACAGCGGCAATTTCGACTGACACAGCCCGAGCTCGACGAGTTAAGGAAGCAGTTAGATTACCTGTTAGAGAAGCAGTTTATCCGTCCGAGTTCGTCACCGTTCGCCGCACCGATACTGTTCACACCGAAAAAAGACGGAGGGTTCCGCATGTGCATCGACTACCGAGCGCTTAACAGGGTAACAGTCAAATCGCGATACCCCATCCCCCGCGCCGACGAACCGATCGACCAACTGCGAACAGCACGAGTCTTTTCGAAAATAGATTTACGGGGAGGTTACCCTCAGATTCGGGTCGAACCATCGGACTGCGCCAAAACAGCATTTAGGACTAGGTACGGGTCATTCGAGTATACAGTAATGCCATTCGGGCTGACGAACGCGCCCGCGACATTTTAGATGACCATGAACGAGGCGTTTAGACCACTTTTAGATAAATGCGTGATAGTTTACCTGGACGATATTCTAGTTTACAGCCGGGATAAGCAGCAGCACTTAGTGGATCTTGAAGCAGTTTTTAAAATTTTGGAGGAACATCGACTACTCACCAAGGGTTCCAAGTGCGAGTTTTTTCGGGACAGGCTAGAGTTTTTGGGTCACGTCATTTCGGAGGCTGGGGTTGAGATTGACCCAAAGAAGCTGGATACGGTAAAAGCGTGGCGCCCCCCGACGAACATCACGGAACTGCAAAGTTTTTTAGGTTTTGTTAATTACGTTCGACGGTTCGTGCCCGACATGGCACGTTTAACAGCCCCACTCACTGATTTACTGCGTAAGGGGGTCGCTTTTACGTGGGGGGAGAAAGAGCATGCTGCCTTCTCTGCCCTGAAAAACGTTCTCTGTTCACCACCCGTTCTACGCATCGCTGATCCCCACCGCCCTTTCGAAGTGGTTACCGACGCAAGTGACATCGCCATCGGAGCTGTACTGTTAGAGGACTTCGGCGACGGCCTCCAACCCATCGCCTACGAATCACGCAAACTACATCCGCCTGAGCGAAATTACCCGATACACGACCGCGAAATGCTTGCGATCGTGCACGCGTTCAAAGTATGGCGCTGCTACTTGACCGGCGCAGACGTGACAGTATGGACAGACCATCGATCTCTACAGTATCTCCGCGCACAGCCCCACCTCAACCCACGACAGATTCGATGGCTCGATTTCCTCGAGTCGAATTTTCACTATACAGTCACATACAAAAAAGGAGCCTCGAATATCGCCGACGCACTGACCCGCCCCACTGCCCAGATCCACGCGATACTACTCGCCCAGACCAGCCCGCTACTGACAGGCCTATTTACCCACGGATATCAAACAGACCCGTTCTTTACAGGAGGCAACTCACAGCAATTCGCAGCGGCAAAAGGAGTCTATTACGTAAAAGCTGGAACCGACCGCATCTGGGTACCAGGATACACGCTACTGCGGGAACTACTGTTACAGGAAGCACACGACGGAGTTACCTCGGGACATTTCGGGGTAGAAAAAACACGGCAGCAGCTGCAGCGGTACTACTACTGGCCAGAAATGTTGACCGATGTGCAACGACACGTGGCATCGTGCCCCACTTGCCAGCTCATGAAGTCAAGCAGGAAGCGGCCGGCGGGACAATTACAACCCATCCCGCCCCCAGAGCGTGCTTGGCAGCAGGTGACGATGGATTTCGTCACGGGGTTACCAGCTGGGGCGAGTGGGAATGACGCGATCCTGGTCGTCGTCGATCGACTAACGAAGATGGCTCATTTCGCAGCATGCAGAAAATCAATCACAGCCGAGGAAACCGCCCGACTCTTCATCACCACCGTCGTTCGACTGCACGGGATACCCGCATTGATCATCAGCGACAGGGACACGAAATTTACAAGCAACTTCTGGCGGAACCTGTGGCAGCAGTTTGGCACGCGCTTACAGTTCAGTTCATCCTATCACCCCGAAACCGACGGACAGACGGAACGGACAAATCAGACCATGGAGCAGCTGATTCGAGCCACGTGCGACGATCCGAATACGTGGGAACAGCAGCTGCCACTCATCGAGTTCGCATACAATAACGCACCATCAGCCACGACGCAACAGTCGCCGTTTTACTTGAATTACGGATAGGACCCAACAGTACCCATGACACCGAATCTCGACAACCCCGTCCCACGAGCACAACAGTTCGCCGAGATTCTGCAAGCAGCACGGACCAGGGCAGCAGAAGCAATAAAAAAATCAAACATCATCGCTAAACGCAACGCCGATCGCCATCGTAGACCCATTATTTTTCAGCCCGACGACCTCGTTTTACTCGACACTCAGAACCTCCGCCTGCCCATCACTCCAAAACTCCGCCCTCGATACTGTGGGCCATTTCGAATCAGTCACATGGTTACGCCAGTCACCGCGCACCTCCTCCTCCCTGCTGACTGGTACGTCAGCCCCTCGTTCCACGTTAGCTTACTTCGCCCTTACGTGCCATCCACCAGCCAACTCCCACGACATCGACCCACCAGCATGACACGACCACCAACCGAACCAGTCATCACCCCCGACAAGATCCTGAGCCAAAGAGTTCGCGACCCTCGAGGAGCCCGCAAAGTAGAGTTTCTGATCCGCTGGAAAGATCGTACCCCCACCGAGGACAATTGGGTTCCCCTGGAGAAAGTTGAAAATCACCCCGTCGTCACCGACTACCTACGTAGCCGCAATTTCCGAGACATCCACGCGCTTTCATAAGGAGGACCTCCTTAGGAGGGGGGGGTAGTGTAAGGAAATTCCCTTTTCCTTACTTCGCGTCCCTGCTCAACGCGTACATCACTGTAGCTCCTCAGTCAGCACCGTTACCACTCGCGACCATCGCGTCATTCATCATCCCGCCCTTTTCGCACATCGCATCCCGACCTCACGGCTCGGCTGGTAACCCGCGCTCCGGGCCTACGCTTCGACACTTTCCAAACCTCAGTCCCAGGCTCGTCGCGCGACCATTACCGTTACCACTATAGTTTCGCTATATAATGTTCGCTCATGCCTTCGCTCAATTGTATTCTTGCTTCGATAGTGCAATTCTCGTTTGTTCACTCAATTGCACTCGTAACACACATACACAACAATGGTTTTGTAACATGTAACGTATAATACAGAGTAGTGTTCGTTCAACAACTCGATGTTAATTTTGTCAATCAAACAACTCCCATCCATGCAGGGTTTTCATGCCTGGCCTTTCCATCAGTGATGTTTATTTTTAAGTTTCCATGCCATTCCACATCTGTTGGTCTTCACGGGTCAAGTATCCACGGGTGACCTAGAGCAAGTGGATGGTAGGGGGGCAGGGCAGAGGAGGGGGCGAGGCAGAGAGTGTTGTTAGCTTTTCCAATCAGGAAGCCATAGCCTGTTATACAATGCCATTCCACACCACATCTGTTGGTCTTCACGGGTCAAGTATACAAGGGTGACCTAGAGCAATGGACTTAGGGGGGCAGAGCAGAGGAGGGGGAGTGGCAAAAGAGTGTCAACTTTGGTGATCAGGAATATGGAACAGCAAGTGCCTTCTTTTGAGGCGCCTATAAAGCTGATGAGGAAAAACGGAACAGCAAGTGCCGTCATGCCATGCCATTCCTCCACACGCCCAGCACCCCTTCCTCCTCCTTCCCCCCCGCTCACAGAGAACCTCCTCTGTTGTGATCCGCTCATCGGGGTCAGCGGTCAGCATCCTAGACGCCAAATTCTTAGCAGCTAGTTAGCTAGCAACATCCATCCCATACCCCCATCACAACTCCCCCTCGTCCCCCCACTTCCAACCTCCCCCCCCCCAACTCACTGAGAATCTCCTCTGCTGTGATTCGCTCATCCAGATCCACTGTCAGCATCCGAGACACCAAGTCCTTGGCAGATAGCACTTGGCAGCAGCGACCAAAAACTACCCCCCTAACTTTCCGCCTAGCCCAACCCCTCCATCCCCCAACCCCCACTCACTGAGAATCTCCTCTGCTGTTATTCTCTCATCCGGATCAACGGTCAGCATCCTCGACACCAAGTCCTTGGCAGATAGCGACACGATCGGCCACGGCGCTGCCCGGAAATCTACTCTGCCGTCCAGAATCGCTTCAAAACGGCCTCTTTGGTGGGAGCGCGGAAGGGGAGGAATCCCGAGAGCAGCAGGTGCAGCAAGACTCCGAGACTCCAAATGTCAGTCGGAGAAGAGTAGGTTTGAGCGAGCATTTCAGGGGAGAGGAAAGAGGCCGTTCCCACTATCTCACTGCATGTTGTTCCTGAAGTTTGGGGTTCAAAGCGGTGCAAAGCGGTGCAACACGAAGGGGTGAAAAGGGGTGCAAAAGGGAGGAATTGCCTCGAAGTCGGCCTCTTTGGTGGGCGCGCAGAAGGGGAGGAATCCCGAGAGCAGCAGGTGCAGCAGCACGCCCAGGCTCCAGATATCGGTGGGGCAGGAGTAGGTCTGGGCGAGCATTTCCGGAGAGAGGAACGAGGCCGTTCCTACGATCTCAGAGCAGCTCGTGCCTGGAATAAGGAATTCAAAGGGGTGAAAAGGGGTGCAACGGGGTGGAAAGGGGGGCATCCTGAGAGCAGCAGAGCAGGAGGTGCAGCAGCACGCCCAGGCTCCAGACATCGGTGGGGCAGGAGTAGGTTTGGGCGAGCATTTCCGGAGAGAGGAAAGAGGCCGTTCCCACTATCTCAGAGCAGCTCGTGCCTGGAGGCTGGAGAGCGGTGCAAAGGGGTGCAAAGGGGTGTAAAGGGGTGTAAAGGGAGGAATCCCGAGAGCAGCAGGTGCAGCAGCACGCCCAGGGTCCAGATATCGGTGGGGCAGGAGTAGGTCTGGGCGAGCATTTCAGGGGAGAGGAAAGAGACCGTTCCCACAATCTCACTGCATGTTGTTCCTGTGTTGGGTTGATAATGGGTGCAGAGGGGTGCAAAGGAGTGCAGTGGGGCGATTTGCGGCAGGGAGAGAGAGGAAAGAAGGAAGGAGGCCGTTCCCAGAATCTCAGTGCAGCTCGTGCCTGTAGTCAGAGGTGCATAGCGGTGGCAAAGGGATGCACAGGGAGGTAGCCTGAGAGCGGGAGGTGCAGCACGATCATCTCTTTTACCAGGAGGTAACAAGGTTGACTCTCTCAATAAACAACCCAACCCACCTGGTATGTTGACGTGACTTTTGAGAATTCTTAAAAGTCATGTCAACATGGGAGGTGCAACACGATCATCTCTTTTACCAGGGAGGTAACAAGGTTGACTCTCTCAATCAACAACCAAAGCCACCTGGTAGAAAGAAGGTTGAGATGCCAATTTTACAGATCTTCACGTCCCCCCACACACCCCAGGTCTACCTCCCCTTAATACACCTTCTATCTAACCAGAGGCAACACGGTTGGCTCTAAACATCCCAGCGCACCTGGCTGGAAGAAGGTGGAGATGCCAAAATCGCAGATCTTCACGTCCCCAGGCACGCCAAATTTCTACCACCCCAGGTGTACCTCCCCTGAATAGGCCTTCCTTCCTCTCCAGAACCCAACGCACCTGGCTGGAAGAAGGTGGAGATGCCAAAATCACAGATCTTCACGTCCCCAGGTAAGCCTCCCCCAGAAACGTCCAAACGCTCCCCGAGCAGGATATTATCGGGCTTCACGTCGCGGTGAATGATTCCGTTGGAGTGGCACTGCAGCAGCGCCTCTGCTGCTGCCGCCACCACCGCTGCTGCCTGCGGCTCGTTGAACGGCCCTTGCTCCCTGACTGCTTGCTGCAGTGTGCCCCCCTGACACAGCTCCATCACCAGATAGACCGTCTGAATTGTTGGGGGGAGGGGATGGGAGGACCTAATTCAGGGTTGAATTGGTGACTGAGCAGGATGTTATCGGGTTTCACGTCGTGGTGAATGGTGCCGTTGGAGTGGCACTGCAGCAGCGCCGCTGCCGCTGCTGCCCCAAAATACGAGCAAACGCGCAACTATCGGGCTACTTTTTGAGAATTCTAAAAAATACGAGCAAACGCGCAACTATCGGGCTTCTTTTTTAGAATTCTCAAAAATACGAGCAAACGCACAACTATCGGGCTTCACATGGAGCTTCACGTCGCGGTGTATGACGCCATTGGACTGGCATGGCACTGCAGCAGCGCCTCTGTTGCCGGCTCCTCCACTGTCACTATCAGCTGCACGATGCTGCAGGTAGCCCCTCTAGAACCCACCGCTCCCAGCACACAGCATTGTCATACTCGTTACAAGCAGACCCACGCACCTCTGGACCTCTGGCTCCTCCACTGTCACTATCAGCTGCACGATGTGCCGGTAGCCCCTCAGCGCTTTCACCCAGTCTACACACAGCAGTATTATACTCGTTACAAGCAACCTCACTTACCTCTGGCTCCTCCACTGTCACTATCAGCTGCACGATGTGCCGGTGCCCTCTCAATGCCTCCAGCGCCCAACCTTCCTCCCAGCACACAGTCACACACTCGTTATAAGCACACAGCATTGTCATACTCGTTACAAGCAGACTCACTAACCTCTGGCTCCTCTCCTCCGCCGTCTCTATGAGCTGGACGATGTGCCAGTGGCCCCTCAGCGCCTCCAAAGCCCAAACTTCCCAAGCACACACTAATGTACTCGTTACAAGCAACCTCACTTACCTCTGGCTCCTCCACCGTCTCTATGAGCTGCACAATGTGCCGGTGCCCTCTCAGCGCCTCCAGGGCCCAGTTTTCCACGCACACTCCTTGTCATACTCGTTATAAGCAGACCCACCCACCCACCCACCTCTGGCTCCTCCATCGTCTCTATGAGCTGAACGATGTGCCGGTGCCCTCTCAGTGCCTCCAGCGCTGCCACCTCGTCTGCACGTCCTCTGCGTCCTCTGGAGTCTGGGCATGGGGGTGATGCAGATGGAGGAAAGGCACGCAAGGGGCCAAGTATGACTGTGCAACAAACCAAACCACCCTCTCAGTGCCTCCAGCGCTGCCACCTCGCTCTGCACGTCCTCTGCATCCTCTGGAGTCTGGTGTGTGGATGTTGATGGGGAAAGGCACGCAAGGGGCAGCGCATGCTTTTGAGACGTCTCAAAAGGCAAGGGGCAGCGCATGCTGGTACAACGAACCAGATTAGCCAATCAGAGTGCCCTCTCAGTGCCTCCAGCTGCCACCTCGTTCTGCTCTGCGCCTCCTGTGCGCCCTCGGGGAATTTTGAGGCGCCTCAAAATACACCTCGTTCTGCTCTGCGCCTCCTGTGCGCCCTCAGGGGTCTGGCGCGGGGGTGTTAGAGGGGAAAGAAAGGCGGGCAAGGGCAGTGCATGATGGTACAACAAACCAGACCAGCCAGGGAAAGTGGCTCTATCAGCGCCTCCAGAGCCAGCATCTCGCTCTGCACGTCCTCTGCATCCTCAGGGGTCTGGCAGGGAGGAGTTAGAGGGGAGGAGGGGGAAGGGGAAAAGCGGGCAAGGGGCAATACATGATGATGGTACAACAAACCAGACCAGCCAGGGAAAGTGGCTCTCTCAGCGCCTCCAGCTGCCACCTCGTTCTGCACGTCCTCTGCATCAGGGGAGGGGGAGGGTGAGGAAGGGTCTGGTTGGAGAGCACACAAGGGAAACAAGGGGCAGTGCAGTGCTTTCTTATTCAACACACAGACACACAAACGGTGCAGCTGCCACCTTGTTCTGCACGTCCTCTGCATCCTCCGCACCACACCGCACCCCACCGCACCCCACCGTCCATTACATAGCTTCACATTCCTTTGCCAATCACTTTGCACACGAATTGCTCCCCGCTCTCTCTTTCCACGCACACCACCGCATCCCCCAACGCCATAGCACAGCACTGCACCACACCGCACCCCACTGCACCGCAGCCAATCCTCCAGTGCTCACCTTCACATTCGCCTTGTTGATGACTTTACACGCGAAATGCTCCCCACTGTCCCTCTCCACACACACCACCACGTCTCCGAAATACCCCTTCCCCAGCACCTCCCCTGTCAGCTCAAACCGGGCGGCAAGGCTCTCCAGCGGCCGGCCAATGATATTGCGCCACCTGGACCGCCCAGCTGGCGACGTGCCGGGCGGCGGCGTCACCACCATTGCCGCCCCTGCCGCATCCCCGCCTCTTCCCCCAGGTGACACGTGTCCTCTTGTCATTGGTAGGCTCTGGGAGTTAGATCGGGTGTGGCCAATCGGAGTGCGCCCAGTGGCAGATGAAGAGGATCTACCTGGCATAGCCCCTCCTCCTCCAGAACCGGCACAATTACCACCTGCACCACTCACAACTCCTCCTAACCCAGGAGAGCCAGCCGCAGCAGGGCCACCACTGCTGTAGGAGGCGGTTCTTGTGTGGCCTGGGGCAGAGGGATGGGTATGCTGCCTGCTATGCTGCGGATGCTGCTGTTGCTGCTGATGCTGTTGCTGATGGTGCTGATTGTGGTGCTGCGTGTGTGGGGAATAGATTTTGCCCTGTTGCTGCTGTGGCAGCATTTTCTGCTGCTGATGGTGCTGCTGCTGCTCCTGATGGTGTTGGTGGTGGTGCTGCTGCTGCTGATGGTAGTCGTTTGAAGGTGAGAGCTGGGAGGGATGTTTGGGGGAGGAGCACACACGCTGCGGGTGCTGCGAGGGGGATCTCAGATTCTGGCCTTGAGTCGAAGGTGACCAAGCCATTCCCAGCTGCTGCTGCCTCTGTTGGGAGGGCGAGGGTGTGGACTGGTGGAAGGATTGGTGAGACGACTGCTGTGGGGAGGACACTCCAGGAGAGCTCTGATGGGGATAACCTGTAGGTGGTTGTTGAGGGGAGTAGCTAGCAGACCGGTGGTGGGGAGAGGAGGAGTATTGAGAAGGATGGGCTGCGGAAGTGTGTCTTGATGGGGTGGTGTTGTGGCTACTATGGTGGTAACCACCTATATCATCATCATAATTATCCTCAGCAGCAGCATAAGCATCTTGGTGGTAACCGTCCCGCTGGTGACTGTCTTCTTGGTAACCGTCCTGCGGGTAACCATCGTGGTGGTTACCTTCTTGGTGGTAACCATCCTGAGCACCTATATAAGCATCCTCGTTACTCTGTCTACTGTGAATTGCATGATTGGCATTGCCCATGCCCATCCTCACCATAAACATCCCCATCATATGCCCCCATCAACACCCCCATGCTCCCCAGGATAACCACCACCACCATAAGCACCACCATCACCATAATTCTCTTCGTTATAATGCCCCTGGTGGCCGGCTGCCACGTCATCAGGATGCGCATGAGGATCTTGTGCCAGCTCAGCAGTGACGTCATTGTGGTAACCAGAATCTTCGCCACGTCCGTAACCATAACCTCCCCTCCCCGGTGGGTCAACCTCGTATGCGCCCTGCCCTTCATCCTCCTCTTCTGCTTCGTCCTCCTGCTCCTCCTCCCTCACTCCCTCCATACCCATCTCCTCTCCACCTCTCCCCATCTCCCTCACTCCATCCTCTACATACTTATGCTCCTCCTCCCCATACCCATCATCATATCCACCACCCCCATGCCTATCACGGCCCAATTCCCGCTCTTTATAATCACCCTCCACATTGCCTCTCTCAACATAGTCACTCTCCCTCTCTCCACTCCCCTCGCTATTGTACCCTTCCCCACCCCCACCAGCCCTCCCCTCTCCTCTGCCCTCCTCCCTTTCCCCTCCCTCGCCCTTTCTCCCTCCACTCCTCCCTCCTCTCCCTTCCACTCCCTCCCCCCGAACCCCTAACCCCGTCCCCTCATCCCCCCAAAACCCCTTCCCTCATCCTCTCTCCCCCCATCCCCCTCTTTCCCCCATCCCCTCTTCCCCCATCCCCTCTTCTCACAACCCCACTTCCTCCATTTCCCCTACCTCCATCCCCTCTTCCCCCGTTCCCTCTCTCCCAATCATCTCGCAACCGCCATTCCTCCTCCCCATCCGCCTTTTCGTATCTGCCCTCCCCCCTGTCCCACTCCTTCTCCCCTTCCCTCTCCCTCTCCCTCTCCCCAACTCTTCCCCCCATCTCTCTCCCTATCCCGCCCAGCCCCCCTCGGGTCGTACCCATCGTCATCATCCCCCCTCCTCCTCCTACCATCATAATCATCATCCCTCCTCCTATCGTCATACTCATCACCTCTCCTCCTTCTGCCCCCATCATCACCACCATCCTTCCCCCTCCCACCAGCATCATACTCATCATCTCTCCTCCTCCTGCCTGCATCATCATCATCACACCCTCCTCCTCCTGTCCCCATCATACTCATCATCTCTCCTCCTCCTGTCCCCATCGTAGTCCTCATAAGAAGACTCAGATCTCGAATCATCATCATACCCTCCTCTACCCCTCTCAACCTCATCATACCCATTCCTTCTCAGCCTGCTGCTTCCCCCCTTTCCACCTCCTCTCCCCCCTCCCCCTCCCCCTTCTATCGGGGGATGGGCTACGGCTATGGTCATCATACCCCTGACTCCCCCCGCCCGTCTTCGTCTCTATAATGCTGACGCGGCGCTGACGTGGCGGCCCCCCCGAGCGGTCGCGCGGGGGAGCGGCTAGGGCTGTTGTCCCCCGACTGCCCCAGCCCGCCGGGAGGGAAGGATTCGCTGCCGCGGATCCTCCCCCCTCCGCGCGCCCCACACCTCCACCAGGCGGCGCAAAGCTGCCCCTAGCGGGCATAGGCGCGGAATTAAAGCGCGCGCCTATCTTCCGAAAACGCCCTGCGCAAGTGCAGGTCCCCCCGCGGGCCAGCAGCCATTCCGCCCATGCTCCCCCGCCCGCCTCCTCCCCCGCCTCGCTGCTGCCCTCCCCCGCGTACCCATACGCGCCCGCGTGCCCGGGGCTGTAATTTCCCCCCACCCCCCCCCGACCGGCCCCATCCCCCCCCCACCCAGGTTAACCGGTCGTTCTTTTTCATCGCGCTTAGTGACCGCGTCAACCGGCGGTCCGGCGGCCGGCTAAGCAGCATCTTTACCTTTTCCGCCGCTTGCTCCGTCCGCGATAGAACCTTCGCCAGGTCTTTATTCCCACCCGGTCCACCTGGCTTTCCTGGCCTCCTCCCTACAGAGTCGTAGGGAGAACCTGTTCCTAATGCCCCTCCTGCTCCCCCTGCTCCTCCTGCTCCTGACGGTCTGTACATCACTCCAGGGCCCTCCATCGAACGCGATCTAAGAACGCTTCCTGATTGACCCATTTCGCGGCACGATTGCGACCCGCTTAAACGCGCTGTCCCCTCTTGCCGACCCACTCCGGCACGTGCTGCGACGAAAACACCCGCGTCGCGCATTTCCGCAAATCCTGCGGGCGCGGGTGGCTTCCCATGCAGAGGCGGACCGTGCGCGTCCCCCCGCCTCGGCGGAAGCCCCTTTTTATTCCCCATATGCGGAATTTCAAGTCCGCCGACTTCCTCGAAAGGGGAGGCGGCGGGCGGGGGAGCGTTAATTGGCGAACCTTCCGACTCCGATTTCGTAAACCACGCCATGACCTTTGTCCTTGGACTTAACCATTTCCCTGCTCCATCTCAGCCAACTCCTCCGCCGTTAACGTACGTCACCGGCAGATTTCTGACTGACGGACGGTTTAAGCGGCCGTGCGGGGGCGCGGGTTGCTGGCGCGTGGCGGGAGCGGCGGGATTGAAGGTTTTGAAGTCCATTGATTGGGAGGATACTCCGATGGATCTGGAACGGCGGAGATCGGTGCCGCTGCCGACACTCTGCCTGCGCGGGTCCATCCGCTTCGACATCGTCGTTGGTTTCGAATGCGGACGGAATTAGCTATGTGAACGTCAAGCCGCGTAGGGGGTGAATGAAACCCTAGGTTACTAAGGAAACGAAGAGACTAATAGATAATTGGTGTGCTCGCATATCCAAAAATGCAAGTGACAGGGAAGAACGGTATAGGCGTAGGTGTCATCAGCTGCCACTAGCGAAGCTGTCTTGACTGAAACGTGTAACTCCGTAGTTCCGAAAACGCATAAAGCGGGACAGCTGCAACGCGTGTGCCGAGCTACAAACTTGCCGGGAATATCCAAACACATTCTAAACTTCGTCGAAAATCTCCATTGCTTCCTAACATGCCGTCAAAGTGAGGGCTTACAAAAAGTCACGCGAGACTTACACAGAAGCCATACGATACGACCTAGTACATTGTGGTAGGAGGTAGATCCCCATCCCATGTTGTTCCTAAACTCCACGGCTTTATCTCAACCTAGGGACTAGGTCACATGGCGCATAGAAGGTGGGGTGGGGTGGGGAGCAGCGGAAGGCAACCCCAAGTGTCTCCAAACCAAACGACAGGGAGTCCAAAGGATGATATCAAGGGAGGTTCCGAGCCAAAATCCCTGCCACGGAGCCGGCTCGGGGAAGCAGGTGTATTCTCAGGCCGAGGGGGAAAAAGGCCGCCACATGAAAACATCCTCTGCTCACGTTACTCGGGCAGTGTTGCGAAAAAAACATTATCTCCGCGAAAGAACTCGGTTGCGTAATTCGTCAACAAGATCTGACGGAAGACGAGGAATTATGCAAAAATATGCACGTTTTCTCCTGTAATGGTGCCATCGTGCTCGGAAAGCGGTGGCTGGGGGCAGGTGTGGTATGCTGGTTTTGGTCTCAGAGAACATAGGCTTGGCTTCAGGCTACCCAGGTCAGGACTCCTTGGCGAAAGGCTTCGCACGAACCGCCTTCAGATTCCTAGGAAACGGCCAAAGGCCTCCCAACATGTCTCTTGTCCGTATTGCCGTAGTTGATAAAGGACGGGTATCACTCTATTTGAGCCTTATCGAGGTCTTTCTAATTACAGATTTGAAAATGTTTTTGACCTCATATGCTCACTATGTCCTTTCTGATGACAAGTGCTTCTTTTCACCATAGCAGCCTTATCGTAAGATCCATACTGTTATTTTTCCTCCCGTGAAACCAGAGGCATCTGTGGATCGCATTTTCGGCATCTTATTTGAATCTCTGGCTGGCTCGATGTATGTCCCGAGTGTAGCAAGTGTTAAGAAGTGAAAAAAAGGCGGTTGCATTCCTGTAAGGAACAAGTCCACAGTCACAATCGAGCATTAATGTGAACGGTTCGAGTATGAGCATGTTAGGCCGGGTCCTGTTCGGCGAGTATGAGTTATGAGTTTGGTTTGTCACTGGTCGACACCAAAATTTGGGACTAAGCCGTTTTTGGGACAAGCTGAAAACAGACAGTATGACCAAAAAAACAAAATAACCGCACCATAACCAACTACGCTTCCGTAGTTATCATTCGTTCCTCGCCAGTCACCACCTGTGTTTCAGAGCCGCTGTAGAGATTTGCGAATATCGCGAATCGTCAACATGTGGTGTCTGTCTTTCGTCGACGCTGGTCGATAATTTCTTCTAACCTTGTTCTAATATTCTGCAGACTCCAGCTACAGTATCAGCGTTGCAAGACAAGCGGGAACGATAAGAGAGTCGTCGTGTCAGCCGGAGGTGCTCGGAGAATCTTGGGACGGGACACGCTGCCAACTCCTGGACGCCTGACCAGTACCAGCCCCTTACCCTTAGCACCGAACTGAACCGTTCATTTCTCTGGCGCTTTTTGAGCTTCCTGCAACAAGGCGTACTCCCAAGGTGTCTCTGCCACTCTGTCTTCATTACTAGGACAGACTAAGTCCAGCTGGAACTTCCTGACTCGTTTCTCCCTGATTCTAGGTCTGTCGACTTGTGTGATCGCAGGTAAGATCAGACCTTAGAACAGTCTATGGAGATCGGGTCTTTCCTAGCTGGAACCCCCTGACTGGGTTTCCTCTTACGGACAAACACCTAGGGTCTTTTCTGGTATAGAACCAGCATTGCACAAATTCTGAACGCGTCCTGGTTGAGCAGCTTTCCCATCGCTGGCTGGCAGTCAGAGCTACCATGGCGTCTAGGCCAGCTAACGGTTACAGCAGGCCAGGCGAGCACGGAAGTCGATTGGGCGACGCATTGCACGACCGATCCTCCGTTCGTTTGGTGGGATTAAGGAGCATCACGCTGCCGCGTTAACACGCTGCGACGCGACGAAAACGACGGAACCACGAGGACGACTTTAGCGACGACTTCTGGCGACGACTTTAGCGACGACTTCGGCGACGCGACGGACGATGGCGAAAGCGATGCCGGAAAACGACGGTGAGTCGGACGACTCGTACGATATCGAAGAGTACCACCTCAGGGAGCGGTTTGGAAGGCCCGTATGACTCAACGGTAGACGTGTTTCGTGACAGAGAAACTGATCGAAACAGGGAAAGGGATCGAAAAGGGAAACGGATGCAGAGGCCGAAACGGGTCTTGTGGAGGAACCGGGTCGCGTGGTGCAACGGGTGGTCTCGAGGGTCCCTTGGTACGAACTTCAAGAAGGCGAGAAGGAACGAGAGGAATTGCGGAGCTCGCGGCGCGGAAGATGAGTCAGTGGAGCGACTGCGGAGCTGATGGAGCTCGCAGCGGCTGTCGTTTTCTGCCGGCACAGCGGGAAAAGTCACGATACGGAGCGGCGGCAGGGGGGACGTGTACTGGCGGCAGGTGTGGCGCGCGATCCGGCTCACGAACCCCGAATTGCGGCGCATCCCGACAGCGATGGCGAAGCAGTGGACGCGTATGAAAGCGCGATACGGACGCGGAGACGCACGACCCGCGGCGGAAGCGGCGGCGGCGGAAGCGGGGGGAGAACGGGGTCGGTGCCCCGCGGAGGGGATGCCGTCGGGGAAGCGGAGCAGCGGCAGGGGGGGGCTCAGTTGAGCAGCGGCAGGGAGGGTCTACTAACGCGGATGAGCAACCCAATAACGAGTCAGGGGGGAACACAGGGGCGAAGGCAAAGGTGAGGGGAAGGCCCCGGGGGGATGGTGGAGTGGGAGAAAAAGCAGCATGGGGACCGGGGCCAGAACCAGCATGGTTTGAGTACGTTCGACTGTTCTATGAAACTGAGCTTCAGGCGCGGAAATACGTGGCAGCCAAAAAGGCTAGAAGAGCAGGAAGAGTGTCTGCTGCTGCTGCTGATGCTGCTGCTGCTGCTGCTAAGGTGTTTACAGCAAGGAAGCAACCTGCTGATATGCCGGCTTATGCGTTCCCTGAGAGCATTGGTTCAAGATGGGGAGAGACTGTAAGGCATCGGCAGGAGCAGCAGCAGCCGCCGCAGCAGCAGGGCAGCAGCAGCAGGGGCAGCAGGGGCAGCAGGAGAGGCGGCAGGCAGCAGGGGCAGCAGCAGCAGCAGGGCAGCAGCAGCACAACAACAACAGCAGCAACAACAGCCGCAACAACTGCCGCAGCAACAGCCGCAGCAACAGCCGCAACAACAGCAGCAGCAACAACAGCAGCAACAGCAGCAACAGCAGCAACATCAGCAGCAACAACAGCAACAGCAGCAACAGCAGCAGCAGCAACAGCCGCAACAACAGCAGCAACAACAGCAACAACAGCAGCAACAGCCGCAACAACAGCAGCAACAGCAGCAACAACAGCAGCAGCAGCAGCAGCAGCAGCAGCAGCAGCAGCAACAGCAGGGATACAACGGGTCATTACCATTACTATCACCATCAGCGTCGCCATTCCAGCTCCCGTTCCCATTTCTACCGTTCTCGTCACCCTTCGCGCTTCTCCCTTTACCAGCAGCACCGCCACCCACTGTCTCTCCCTTTGCACCTGCTGAGAGGCAGAGGCAACCCTCTGTCTCAAGGCAACCCTCAGACTCAAGGCAACCCTCTGTCTCAAGGCACCCTCAGACTCAAGGCAACCCTCTGTCTCAAGGCAACCCTCAGACTCAAGGCAACCCTCCGACAACTATTTGCGGAGCCTACGTAACAAAGTCGCTCCGGTTCCTGCTCCCGCCGCCACAGATCCGATT